GACCAGACTTGACTTGAAGCAAAATCAGATTTATTAACCATAAGAAGACGAGATGATAAAGAATTATATGATGGATGTGACATCCTGACTATATGTAAGGTACGGGACATTTTAACGATAATCGATAAATCACTGCTATCATTGAGTCGCCTGTGTCCATATTGGCTCAACATGCAGCCAATAAAATGCAAAGACGTCGTCTTTCTACCCCCGTCAACATGTCTGAAATGATGAATTATGTAATGTGCAAGTAGTAACATTTTATAATCGACATGATGATGTAAATCTGAACATCTTTTCATCCATGTATTGAACAATAATCTGCAAACTGGCTTAGTCTGTATAAAGCATATGTTGCATAGATTGCATTTGGTTATTTTTGATACATCAATATTAAAGTTAATAAAATACCAAATGTTTGGTCTAAGGTACATTTTCCACCAAGTAATTTTATTTGCTTACTGTGAAGGAGGTAGAGATACTATTAACCGAGTATGGCCTTTGATGGTTTCAGCAAAATTTTGTTTGTAAAAAAAAAATGACGTTTAACACGGGAAACCTTTTAATTTGAAAGGAGATTGCAGCAGAAGCAAATATCTATTACATCATATCTGTTTGACATAGCAAAACAGTGACAGGATTTCATCACAACATGACAAAAAGTTATTTTGAATAAGACAACCTGGACTGCAATAATTAATAGTTTTGATAATGATAAAATCAACCTCATAAAACAACTTCACAGTACATTTATTGAGGATCTTTACACAAGTCAGCTTGCTTCTCTTTTATATTTAAATAACAGTCCACAGAGAACAGTATCATTTTAATTTCAAGATAAAAAGAATGAGATAGGGATAACAGTGTGGCAGATGGTTTAGATGTTATCCAGTAAAAAATAGTAATTTATATTCTATATTTCGTTCAGGTTTTCTAGAAAAGGCATACACATAGTCTACCAATAAATAAGATTCAGAAGTGAAATATTTCAATCTAACATTTATGGTTTTGAGTATTATTCTGCAGCATCTTGTAAATACTGAACAAAATTACTATGAGATTTCATTTTCTAACAGAAAGAATTGAGAGTCGATGTAAAAATACATTATTATCTAGTTTGCACAATTCCAAGGAAACTCAATATGATGGGAAACGTATTGCAAACAATTCTTCTACTCTTCGTCTGGATGCCATTTTTAATATCTTTTTTTCAGCATAAGAAAAATATCAATTTGTGTTGCTGGGTTTTTAATAATTTTGAGGAATGTAATCTTGATTAATGTTACTATGGTAGCGATACATGTACGTGCATGTCTGGTATCTTAATTATTCAAGTGGCCAGGTGAATGAAATGAATATCTCTTAGTACGCATATAAGTAGAATGCAAGGACATTTGGGTGTCACACAAATTAATTTTACTCAACTCAACTTTTTTTTACTTAAAGGGCTTTATCGAATATAAATACAAGTATATGCTAAACATTATACACAGTGCATGTAGCAGGTTGTGTTACATTATTATTTTGTATTCAATGTGTTTGAAGAAAAAATCTAATGGTCACCTTCTGTGATGCATTTGTCAGAAAAGGCACTGTAAATCACCAAGCAAGTTTGACAATAGATGATAAAAAATAAACAGAATTAAATAACAGAAGATATGTAAAACACAAAACCGTATTCACCATACTCTGACATACACTTGTGATTGATAGACATATTAACAACACAACACGTGACATTACTTTAATATGGAGTGATAAATTATGGTGATTTTTACCTTTCCCTGTGCACCATTGGAAGCAAAGGAGATAAAACAAACATGGATGGATTAGTAAGAGAGTAGACAGACAGAGTACTGTGGAATAATTTATGTTCACTAGAATGGAATAGTAAGAGAGTAGACAGAGAGTACTGTGGAATAATTTATGTTCACTAGAATGGAATAGTAAGAGAGTAGACAGACAGAGTACTGTGGAATAATTTATGTTCACTAGAATGGAATAGTAAGAGAGTAGACAGACAGAATACTGTGGAATAATTTATGTTCACTAGAATGGAATAGTAAGAGAGTAGACAGACAGAGTACTGTGGAATAATTTATGTTCACTAGAATGGAATAGTAAGAGAGTAGACAGACAGAGTACTGTGGAATAATTTACGCTTGAATGGATATGTGGAGAAAACCATGGAGTACGGTTTATGTATAGTAGACTGAACATCTTAAAGAATAACCTGTCAATCGCAGGGAATCATATTTTTCTACAATTAATCTGCTTATTGTTTTCCATTGTAATTTATAGCAAATTTGCGATAAGATTATTAGGCTTAACATGAGGTGCCCTATGATCAAGTAATAATTTTGTGAAACTTTTTTTTCAACAAAACAGAACCATTTTACTTAAATATCGCGTGACAGGTATCGAAATAATTTCTCTCTGGTTTTCTATGTTGAATTGCGTGACCACGCTATACTGGTACTTTCATTGGAAATCATGTTTTCTATGAGCTTTTGTGAGAGTGAATATTCTATCAATGATAGACACTGAGTAAGCTTCATGTATTTTGTAAAGCAGCATAATAATAAGATAGTTAAATGATACAGACTCAAATTTCAAGTATCCCTCATATTTAAGATAATTAAACAGGATTTCATTGAAAAGATGTTTTGTCTATTTTGTTTGATAGCAAATGCAATATTCAGTACTGTCATCAAATTTACACTCCAATACGATTCATGCAAACAAGGGAATACAATCAAATCATTTACTGCTATTTTTACTTCACATTGTCATTGAAGACTATTAAAAGATGCTATTAATGCAGTGATACACACCATGTTATTAACAGAAATCTCAATAGGTGCTACCTCTATCAACCCTCAGTAATAGGTTGCAAATGTTCCTTGCTATGGTATCTTCGTTTACGTTCATCATAAATGTTGCTGATCGACAAAAAGTGGTGTATATATACACTTTAAATTGTCATTCACATAAAGATGGATATAGACACAACTGATTCTATTTCCTTTGTAATCAACTCCCCATCACATTGGCTGAATTGACCACGTCAATTTCCAGACGGAAAATATGTGCGTAGACTTACAAATAACAAAGTGATGTAAGAGATGCAACAATCTGAATTTACAATCTGCCATTAATTTCTTTGAACAGCTTCAATTATATAAGCCACATAAATTGCCTTATTTGTTTGCTAGATGACTTGCAGTAGAATTATGGAATTGTCGAAAATTTATATTTGAGGTGGTGAGTGGATGGTTGAAATTGAAACCCTTGAAACAATTATTTCCCCAGCATCATCAACATTTTTTTTTCAAAATAAAAGCCTTATATACTGAGTAATTTATATTTGCCATCATTTCAATAAATACACCCCTGAGTACACCACCTATCCCACCTTCCTAACAATGGCACCACCCTTAAAGACTGCTGTATCCTATTACTATATTGCCATGGGCAATGCAATTTTCAACAGTCACGTTTACATGTTATGTAACTTTATAATTATTCACACCTGCGAAATGAATTCCAATTCCCCCTATGTTATTAGAGTCACTATTAATTTAAACTCACCAATCTGATGCCAACACATACATAGACAGTCACACCCAGGGCACATCACATGACCAACTCTACCGAGTACATTATTCACATCATATGCATGGGAATTCACTTAGTATATCTAGTTTTATCCTTTGACTACGCTAAGATACTTGAATTAGATGGATGGCAAGTAATTATTCTTATCTCACTATTTTCCCTAAAAATCTACACAAAAGGATAGAAAGAATAACGTCACGTCTTACCTTCCGTTATCTCTACCAACTCCCCATACTCTGATATCACACACAGGCTGGGAATTGAGAACACTACCATCAGACACGTCAACTAACTTCAAGAAATCTTCTTCCAATACCATGTACATATCTTTCCCCTGCAAGGCATAACATTAGAACAACTGAAAGTCAATTTCACTCGCGCACACACACAAAACAGCAAATTGTCATCAAGTTCTGTAGGCATGTAAAACTATCCATATTTAGAAAATAAATACCAATGCGTAACATCATACACACAACAAATATTTGGCAAGAATGAAGAAACACACAAAAAAATCTGAGGTAAAAACAAAATGCTGCATCAAAAATCATCAATGTGCAAAGCTGCTTTTTCTTTCTTTTTCTCTCTCTCTCTCTCTCTCTGAGGATATCATTTTTCATTACTCGTTTAATTGTTAATTGGTTAATAATTGATCTGTGTTGTCACCTGGTACACTGCTAATGAGTGAAAGTTCTAGTTTTTCTAAGAGTGTCCATTATTTTATTTTCACACTAACCTCTCCCCAAATACCAGCTGTGTCTCGGATATCATTCTTTCTGTATGACAGTTGTCTTATACAGTTATTGACAGCAACGCTGCTTTTACCAGGTGAAAGGTCAACTTCGTCCATCTCAACCCAACCCAATGATCGGACATGGAATCGGATCACCTGAAACAGGCATATGAAAGTTTGTTATTCAATACAAGACACCATTTTAAATGGAGCATATCTAAGAGTTGATGTCAGGAAGTCTTACCTTCTTGCCATGAATTGGACTTTCTGGTTTTCCTGTACTAGATGTCATGTTAAGAGAAGCATATCTGAGAGTGGATGCTTGAAAATCTTGCAGACTGTGGTCTGGATCGGAGGACGTTCCTCCACCTGGTTGAGCCACATTGAGATGTGAATAGTTCTGTAAAGTATGAAATGAACAAAGGTGAAATGATGGATATAAATAAAAAGATACACTACTCCATCTTTGAATGTTTTTTCAGATATATACAGCAAAGCATTCATGACGAGGTTTATGTCAGATCAACTCGTAAATATGGAATTAAGACTTTCCTTATTTAGAAAATAAATAGATTGAATGATAAAAACTGAATTAAAATAGAAAATAGTGTATTTATAATTATTGGATCATGTGATCAATATTTGGGGGAAGGTTTTGTTTATCCTTTTTAACAGCTTTTCCATTTTTCTGTACTATACTACAAAATGTACAAGTAAAGCTGTAAAACATGGAATGATTTGTTATAATGATGGAGAGAAATTTATAATGTTGCACACACTGTATCTATCCAGCACACACATAGGAAAAAAAACAGTAGCAAGCACACACATGCACACACACACTTTGGAAATGTAACATCACTCAAGAATACCTAATAAATGACTCAAACTGGTGGAAATACATTAAATTTAATACTCAATGATGCCAGCCTGTGAAAACACCGGTAATACTCAGTCTAAAGAAGTGACACAGCCGGGGAGTAAACGTACGTCAACCGCCTATCAAGCGATGGCAAATACAGTAAAATACACATTTGAGACAAATTACATTTAACAAAATTTGTATGCGACAATAGAGTCAATTTGATATGACCAAGTGTGGGGTAACCTTTCCAGTGGAATACTAACAAAGATATCAGATTGTAGTCAATCAAATTTATTGTGCCTCACAACTACCTCAATCAAAGTATTGAAAAGTAGAACGACAGTCCACCTAATGATCATGGAGCTATTCCGGGCAGTCACGCTGAAACTGAATTGGTTACTTGCAAGGAGTGAAATTGTAACAGACATGTCATGCTTTACGGGAACCACTAAACAGTATCTACTTTGATTCAGACAAATTAGGATTTGTTATCATTGAAGAAGTTTGTAGTGTATGTTATCTATAAACAATACCTTACAAATATATCACTTTTAATATACATCATTTTCCATCTATCTTTAGATTACAGTTGTATGATATGCAGAACCTTCCTCACTGATTATTGTGATCATCATGAAAAATTATAAAATCAGTTGCCATGGCAACAAATCCTGCATTATTGGAGGACTGAAACTAGTCAGTACTGTTGTAATCATTGTTATAATCAATCATGTCCTCTTTATTTTAAAACGCGGTGGTTGTCGCCAAGCGCGTGTTCGAATTTCATGTAAACAAACAATGTATTTTACATGTGCTATATACGTCGCTATAAGTCCCATATCGAACAGAGCGTGGCACGACGACTGCCGCTCTTTAAGAAGACTTCTAAATTTGATATCAGTATTCTGTTGGGTAACACACCTCATGAATTGTAAAATATGCAAGGCCCTTGTGATACTTGCAGGGGTCAGTGAGAGGTTTTCTACAGACCGTACTAAGGGGAGCTGCCTGGGGAAACAGACGATTGAAGAATGAAAATACTAAGCGTAAATACAACAACAACAACAACAACTTGTGGATTGTGAATATTTTCCTGCTGATTTATTATAAATTTAAAAGCAAGAACTGCCACAAATATAAAACTGATGACATGGGCAAATTGAGTGCAATCAATATAGCAGTACAGGACACTGATGACATGGGACAGACAGTATGTATAATCAATGATGAAGAAACAATGCCCATATAAGGAAATAACAGTAAACCTTGTGACCTTATATCCCCAAAGCACTGAGGAAATGTACTTTATTTCCTTAGAGAGAAAGAGGATGGGATAATTACTCATGCAAGACACTTTTCAACAGTAGTCTTGATGGTCAGTTAGATGGTTGTCATGGCAACACGATGGGATTATTGATTGATATGCAAGACATTGATGGTCAGTCGTATGGTTGTCTAGTGTTTGCACTGAAACTCAGTCGCTTGTAAAAAACCAATTAAACAGTAATAATGGGGAAGAATAATTGTTTCTCCATGAATATATAGTGAAACTGTGATCGTGCTATATGTAAAAGTAAATTCGATTGGAGCAGCATATCGGATGCCAGGTGTTTGATTGCAATTTGACCAATCAAAATGAAGAAACCACAAGTAAAGCAATTTTAGTATTTATAGTATGGAAGAATTTGAATTAGTTCCTCATATTTGCTTATCAGAAATATAAACGATAAATTTCCCAGGCAAGAACTATAGTGCCATTGTCAATATTTGGCGACATGTTACAAAATAATTTTGTATAGTCCACTACTCCCAACATGAAATGTTGATAAAAACTAACAAACCTATTGATCAAAAACTTAAAAGCAATTCTTGAAACTGTCTGTATGGACCAAAATGGTGATGGAAATTACTGAAAATTTTAAAAAACTTATTTGCACTGATGTTTGTACTCAAAATATTGAATTTTTAATGATACAGCCACCGATCCACATGTGGTAATTCAGGCATCTCAACTTAATGATTAAATATTACTTTAGATCATTTCTCTTGCAACTAACCGTCTGCCCTGTAGACTTGTGCCATTAATCTAACAAACACAACCGAGACTCGATGATTGCCTGTAATCTGACTGTCTGCCACCACTGAGATTTTAATTCACATTTGCAAGGAGTTGAAATCTACCTAAGGAAATGTACACTGGCACTATTTACTTTAACATTATCCCGAACAGCTGCAGAGCTGGGTATCAACTAGTAAGACTTGCAATGTAAGCTGACAAGTATAATCTTGTTATACAGGAACCAACAACTGTCAAATTTTAGGAAGCGTCATTGGGCGGGGTATCACTATGCATGGCCAGCTAGAAATGCAATCAGTATTTGTTATAAATAAAAATATACAACAAAGTGTGAATAATAATTTGTTGATAACTGAAACTTATTAAAGCAAGGTATAAAAGGATCCCATCGTAATACACTAGGTCTCTCTCCCCCGCTAAATTAATGGTCTCCTCCAATATTTCTTTTCCTAGTCATTCCACATTTTTCAGCGTATTCCAACTGACTGACTAGGTTAACTCTACACTGGCCCCTTAGTTAAAGTTTGGCGCCTTACTAAATTGGCAAATTCTAGCACGCATTCACGACCGTCTACCATGGGATTTCCGTCTGACATCACAACTACCGCGATCTACGACACAATTCAGCGCATTGGCCCAGATTGAATTAAATAAGTCCATGATAATTTACAAAGTATTTGATAATTCAAGGAGCTACTCAGCATCGTCATTTCACTTCAATGTTATATACCTATGTACTTTAGTTTATTTCAACATGATAGTCAGTTGGTCACTGACTTCATTTCAATGAAGCAGTTTGGGTAAGTATTTGAAATGTAAAAAATAAATCATGTCATCATTTAAACTTTTAATGTTGGCCAGATTCACAAGACTTCTCTCACCTTGGGGAGATCTAGTCCCAGACTTATTTATTTATTACTCACTACTAGGCCTGGGGTATCACCCCCCCGCCTAGATTTGAGGCAATCCTTTTGTGCGAAGCAAACCTCACTGGTGTGAGTGCATGTTAAACCACTGCATGACAACACAAAGATTTGAAAAGAAATAACATACGTCTTCTAGTAGTAGCACATATGCTTACGTAAACGGCAAAGATGTGTCTATGATCATAAAAAGTCTTATTTCGATAATTCCATATACAAAAATGCAATAATTATTGGAGAAGTGCTTCTAATATGGTAGGTATGGTTACGAGTTTGATTTGAAATCTATGAAAAAAATATAAAATGTAGCAGTGCCCAGTTCATGAAATATAGAGATTGGAGATTATAATTGTAGGAATATTTGACAGTCCGGATTGTTTTTATCCTGATTATAAGAGATATTTGATGGAAATAAGAATGATTAAAGAAGTTCACTCCCACATCCTGACGTAAACACAAAGTGGCAATCACATACGATCCTTTCACCCAAAGACCCACGCACAACCATTAACAACCTGTCAACATATCATACAGGAGCTATTGAGGTTTAAAGCGATAGAAATAGACGTACCCTCAGTAGTAAAGAATTCAAAGCAATGCAATCAAAGAATTGCCAAGAACAAACAATGCCGAATGCACAAATCTAGACAGGGAAACAGGAATAGACATCAATCTTATATTTTCTCAATATCTCAGAAAACAACATTGCAGCTGAATTTTCATTGCCATGACAACCTATGAGAGTCTGTTTAAGTTCAATAGATCACATAAATTCTTCTATGTATGTGTATTAATTATAAGTAGTATGCTTTTTTTATTTGAATTAACCTTATATGCAGTTCAGCCACGATGGACAATAAATGTATCTAGCCGCATCTATCACTATCAAAGTATCAAAAATATGGATGGAAACGTACAATTATTGCGATACATTTTTAATAGTAATACAGTAATAAGTTCATTTGATTGATTGCAAAAAAATATCAGATAGTAAACCGTTATTTTTTTTTCCTGAGAAACAGATTTTCACAAATATTGGGAGTAGAATAGCTAAAGACCATGAGAGAGGGAGTTAATGCCCTCAATATTTTGTGCCATTCAAGCCATGCCATTCAAATTGAGTCCTGTAACTTAAAAGATCAGTAAACAGTCACAATAAAGGCAACAATACAGAACTGGAGGAAATCAGAAAGACATCAACAAACAAACATACATACATTCAATATATTGTAATTAATTTCACTATTTTAACATTTGGGTCAATTAATTTGAAAAAAAACAAACAGTTGCATTCACATGTTCACATAGATTTAATTTAGCAGGGTTCACTTATCATTGTCTTGAAAATAATCAATAAATAAAGGGTAGGAAAGGGAGCAAAAGAATACCTATCTATTCCCCTAAAAAATCCTTTTCTTCTTTCCTTAGTGAAAGTCATAACATGCAAAATGAAATCACCTAGAAATTCTATAATTCTAAACAGATCTTTGAAGGCAACCAACTTCTCGTTAACATTAATAGCCTTTTTAACATTG